ACATTTCCAGACTTGACTCATCTGTGACAGAGTGAGTTTAGTTTTACGCCGCACTCAACAATATTCCAGCTATATGGCGGCGGTCTGTAAACAATCGAGTCTGGACCAGACAATGCAGTGATCGACAGCATGAGCATCCATCTGCGCAATTGGGAACCGATGACATGTGTCAACCAAGTCAGCGAGTCTGACCACCCGATCCCATTAGTCGCCTCTTACGACAAGCATGGGTTACTGAAGATCAATTCTAACCCGGACATCATCTGTGACAGAAACGATGTCTGATGCATATCACTATTTTGACTTGCACCACATGTCCCAGTGTGAAACGCGTTGACCTGCCTATGCATGTGTTTATGACGTATGGCATGGGTGTTATGGGGTTTCAATACCTGGTGTCATCAATATTATAAAGTGATTCATAAACACATGCTCATGGTACATGCTGACAATTACAGAAGACAGACGAAGACAGCGCGGAACATATCGGCAATAACAGAAGACAAAAGAAAACATGGCGATGCATCTCTTCAATAACAGAAGACATACGGACACAGGGCGGCACAGTTCGACAATAACAGAAGAGAGAAGAACACACTGTGTTCCAGGTCGACGATGACAAGACAAATGAATACACGGCATTACATGTCGACAATAATATACGACAGACGAACATTCACCGGCACAGTTCGGCAAAAACAGAAGAAACACTATTTTTTGTCAATGCCAGAACATATATGGTTCAAATTGGAATAGCAACATAAGTATAATTTAATAGAGGGAAAACACACACACTTCACAGCAGTTCGTGGATGGAAGACCCGCTGTCTTTGACTAGGGGTAGAACATATGGTGCTACAGTTCGGCAATAAGTGACCACTGTCAGTGACATGCGTCTGGTCATGACAGAACTGGTGATTACACAGATGGCTGAGACGTGTGAGGGCAGTGTTGATGGGGGTGATTGCAGCAGACATGTAAACGCTTCATCAGGCGATGCTGGTGTATCCTCCAGGGTAATATGGAATACATTGGGTGACAGTCGGCACGCCATAACTACCGGTGGGTAGGGGAGTCCCCGGGGTCAGGCCGAGATGAGAGTATGCATACTTTTCTCCAACAGCAGAGAGAGTTAATGATAGGTATGGTGATTTGATCCACATACAGAACCTCCAACCAGAGAATACAACCACTACAAAACTTCCAGCACGGAATCTATGTAACCCCCTGTGAGCGTATGGGCTAAAACTGGACACAGTAACTTATTCTGACATTCTGCCATGCAAAATATATCAAACAAACTTCAGACTTGGAGCATTCGCCGCTGTACACTGTAAAGGAGAATTTGACACAACCCGGTATGATGTATATTTGTTGTTAAACGATGTAGTCAGCAATATTCCAGCTATATGACGGGAGTCTGTAATTAATCCAGCCTGGACCAGACAATCCAGTGATTGACAGCATGAGCATCAGTTGCGCAACTGGGATACATGCGACAAACAAGTCAACGGACCTGACCATGCACCCAGTCCCGTTAGCCGTCCCTTATACGACAAGCATGTATGTATACTATATGTATCTCGTAAACGCCGGGTTGGCTGGACCAGACTCGATTATTGACAGACCGCCGCCATATAGCTCGACTATTGCTGAGCGCAGCGTTAAACAACAAAACGACCAAACAAACAAGATGGATACGAGGGAGTTTGTTTAAGACTTATAACGCTTATACGTATAGTTGAATAAGAACAAATTTAGAAGGTTTTTATGCAACAATAACAAATGAACCCACCCCTTAGCAAGTTTAAATCACATAGAACTCATTAACGCTGACGTTTAATTACACAGGCATACTTATTTCGGTCTACAGCTAACTTGGACATACCGGAATACTGATTTTTGTCACCTCGCGGCCATATATATATTTTTTCTGTTATATATTTTAAGTATGATAATAATGTGCATTTATTAAGTATTTTAATGTCGTCAGACCCGCTAATTTTATCAACCACTGTGAATAACATGTTTAGAAGACGACTCTGTAAAAAATGTTATTCATTTAAACTACTTCTTATACTTTACTCTACAACGAAATGTACATAGCTATTAAATTGTGTAGTGTCTCATAAGCCTTATTGGCTGGTTGAACGATATTTTACTGTGGCTATTGTGTATTTTATGTCATGTAATCGTTCACGTGACACTTTAATAAACTATATCTGTCTGTCTGTCTGTCTATAAAACGCCTTACACTAATCACGTATATACCTCCACCTCGGATGCGAGGTGTTGGCAGTAAAGGGCCCGCTGGCATCTTCACCATAAGTAGGAGTTGATGCTACACAGCACATGGACGAGCTTGATAAGCTGGGAGTAAACATCCTTCTCGACCTGAGCCACAGCTTTAGGCGAGAACCCTACAATACAATTTAACATGAACTCGTCGTGAAATTGATAGATGCTAGGGTTTTTTGGTTTTTTTAAATAACGCAAAACACTTGACAGAATGGCCTGAGCTATTTACAAACTTGGCACACGTGAGAGGCGGTCGTCGATGGCGGTGCGTGGGAGTCCATGTGCATTCGCGGACGTCACAGGCGATGAAGAAATCTTCAAGTTGAAATAGACTTCAGTAACTTGTTTCCGAGAGACTTATATCAATATAGCACATTAAGCCGATATCGTTAGCGTGGCAACGATGGCCTCCAGCTATGTTTGCTTAGCACTATTATGTTTGGCGTTATAACAAGCTGACAGCGTGAACTGTCGTTACTCGGCAGTCGTCCAGGGTTTCAGGCTGTGATGAAGCATTACATTTTCTAAGAATGTGCAAGGAAAGCTGTCCTGTAGTATGTGTGATTGTCTTAAGGATGAATCATCTTCTGGTGCCCTTTATTTTTACATGTTTTACTTTGGGGTGTATATGTGTAGCTCAAGCAGGGGTGTATGGGTGATTGTCTTTTCAAGATGTTTATCTGTAGCTCTTCTTGAGCTGTGTTTGTAAAGCTCTATAGGTGTGCTTGTGTAGCTCTTCTTGAGCTGTTTGTGTAGCTCTTCTTGAGGTGTGTAGCTCTTCTTGAGCTGTTTGTGTAGCTCTTCTTGAGGTGTGTAGCTCTTCTTGAGCTGTGTTTGTTTAGCTCTTCACGTGTAGCTCTTCTTAAGGTGTACACGTGTAGCTCTTCTTGAGCTGTTTGTGTAGCTCTTCAGGTGTGCTTGTATAGCTCTTCTTGAGATGTGTGTGTAGCTCTTCTTGAGCTGTGTTTGTTTAGCTCTTTAGGTGTACACGTGTAGCTCTTCTTAAGGTGTACACGTGTAGCTCTTCTTGAGCTGTTTGTGTAGCTCTTCAGGTCTGCTTGTATAGCTCTTCTTGAGATGTGTGTGTAGCTCTTCTTGAGCTGTTTGTGTAGCTCTTCAGGTGTACACGTGTAGCTCTTCTTGAGCTGTTTGTGTAGCTCTTCAGGTGTGCTTGTATAGCTCTCCTTGAGATGTGTGTGTAGCTCTCCTTGAGATGTGTGTAGCTCTTCTTGAGCTGTTTGTGTAGCTCTTCAGGTGTGTGTGTAGCTCTTCTTGTGTAGTGTCAGGTAGCTCTTCTTGAGCTGTGTTTGTGTAGCTCTTCTTAAGGTGTTTGTGTAGCTCTTCTTGAGCTGTTTGTGTAGCTCTCTTCAGGTGTGCTTGTGTAGCTCTTCTTGAGTGTTTGTGTGTAGCTCTTCTTGAGCTGTTTGTGTAGCTCTTCAGGTGTGCATGTGTAGCTCTTCTTGAGCTGTTTGTGTAGCTCTTCAGGTGTGCTTGTATAGCTCTCCTTGAGATGTGTGTGTAGCTCTCCTTGAGATGTGTGTAGCTCTTCTTGAGCTGTTTGTGTAGCTCTTCTTGAGCTGTGTTTGTGTAGCTCTTCAGGTGTGCTTGTGTAGCTCTTCTTGAGCAGTGTTTGTGTAGCTCTTCTTGAGCTGTTTGTGTAGCTCTTCAGGTGTGCATGTGTAGCTCTTCTTGAGGTGTGTGTGTAGCTCTTCTTGAGCTGTGTTTGTGTAGCTCTTCAGGTGTGCATGTGTAGCTCTTCTTGAGCTGTGTTTGTGTAGCTCTTCTTGAGGTGTGTGTATAGCTCTTCTTGAGGTGTGTGTGTAGCTCCTTCAGGTGTGCTTGTGTAGCTCTTCTTGAGGTGTTTGTGTAGCTCTTCTTGAGGTGTTTGTGTAGCTCTTCTTGAGGTGTTTGTGTAGCTCTTCTTGAGGTGTGCTTGTGTAGCTCTTCTTGAGCTGTTTGTGTAGCTCTTCAGGTGTGCATGTGTAGCTTTTCTTGAGCTGTGTTTGTGTAGCTCTTCTTGAGGTGTGTGTGTAGCTCTTCTTGAGCTGTTTGTGTAGCTCTTCTTGAGCTGTTTGTGTAGCTCTTCTTGAGGTGTGTGTGTAGCTCTTCTTGAGCTGTGTTTGTGTAGCTCTTCAGGTGTGCATGTGTAGCTCTTCTTGAGCTGTTTGTGTAGCTCTTCAGGTGTGCTTGTGTAGCTCATCTTGAGATGTACACATGTAGCTCTTCTTGGGATTTATTGGGGCAGCTCTTCAACATACAAACATTGACTCCAATGATGCCCATTCACAACCACTACATTGAGCAATACATTCTGCCCTTGAGTTTGGGTTGGTAAGTGAGGGCATGTAACTTGTTCATGGACATGTTTGCGTTCCAGACACTAAGGTTCAGCTCTACAAACTGAAAGGTTTAGTTTCGCACTATTTACTGTGTATGGTGACAAAGCTGAAATATTGCTGGTTGCAGCTTTAAACGCCATTCACTCCCCCACATTTTCAAACTAACAAACACTGCTGTAAGAACAGGCAGATGTCAACACTATTTTACAAGACTAAATGCTGACGTTGCTCATAGTTTAAATCTTGATGAGGAAATAGTGAACTCATTTTGAATTTTTGTCAGGAAATGAAATGATTACAGTTGGAAAGGTTGGGGATTGCTATGCTAACCACAATATCTCCTTTATATAAAATGTCATCACAAAATGTAAAAGAATATTTATTTCATGAAATGTTACAATATGCACATAAAAAGAAAAGAAATAATTCACATGTTAAGAGGTTCATGTTATAATAAATATAAAATCACACATTTATCTCAACCTTTACAGAAACAGGATTAGAAACCTAAAAGCATATAACCGAGATATTATGTATGCAAGGACATGTTCATAAAACCGTCACACAAACCCACAGAGGCTTCCAATCATGCATTGACTCACAATCAACTGTCAAGAACAGGACTGTAATATTAAACATAAAACCCCACAAAACCTTTATTTGGTGCCAGTAAATATATTAATAACACATACTTGAATCCTGATCCTCATCCTATCACAGGTTTTTCAGTAAACTGACAATATTTTAAGCTAAAGTTGGGAAAGAAATAAGGCCTCTGATTTCTGGCTAACCAAACACTGAAGATATTGATAACCTTAAGATGATAAGGTATAAAGTGTTGATATCACCCATACACTTTCTTTAGCCATAACTCATCACATCCAACTATCTCACGCATCCTTTTTATCCATAACCTCATCAATGTCTAAATAGCTCATGCACTGTCTTTAGCCGAAACCTCAACTGTGCAGTGAAATAACCCACACACCGTCTTAATCCATAACCTAATCTACGCTTGTATTACCCATGCACTTTGTTCAGCCATAACCCATGCACTGTTTTTATCAAAACATAATCCACACCTGTATAACTCATGCAGTTTCTTTAGCCATAACCTCATCCATTAAAAAAAATTACCATATATTCTTATTGCTATCAAAGAATCACAATCATTCAAAAGTACAGATCCTCTGGGAGATGAGGTGTGAGACAGATATGCTGTGTTTGGTATGTGTTATCTGAAAGTTTTCGATGGTACTCATACAAAACACAGCAGTGCGTCAATATGTCCTCCTGCTTCAGAACGTGTCCGTCTGCTGGATATTACTGTCAGCCATGTCCAACAGAGGAGTTGTGTATCCAAACTTGCTACGTGTCACCCCCACTGTCAACTGTCACTGACACTTGACTCTTGCCAACTCCACCGTCCCTGGTGACTTCCACACTCTTCCTGCTATGAATTACTTGCCAGTTACACATTCCCCCTGATTGACTTGGTCTGTCACTAACACTTACATCAGAACACTTCATCCTCTGCTTCAACATGGCACCTTTCATCCAAACATCGCAACGAACACGACAAAGCTCATGAACATGGTGAAGAGGATTGGCACTGTGAGGAGTCCCCAGACCGGCCACAGACCCACTGTCAGACTGAAACAAACATCAACTGTGTATCATAGACTGAAACAAACATCAACTGTGTATCACAGACTGAAACAAACATCAACTGTGTATCATAGACTGAAACAAACATCAACTGTGTATCACAGACTGAAACAAACATCAACTGTGTATCATAGACTGAAACAAACATCAACTGAAACAAACATCAACTGTGTCATAGACTGAAACAAACAAACATCAACTGTGTATCACAGACACAGACTGAAACAAACATCAACTGTGTATCATAGACTGAAACAAACATCAACTGTGTATCATAGACTGAAACAAACATCAACTGTGTATCATAGACTGAAACAAACATCAACTGTGTATCACAGACTGAAACAAACATCAACTGTGTATCATAGACTGAAACAAACATCAACTGTGTATCATAGACTGAAACAAACATCAACTGTGTATCACAGACTGAAACAAACATCAACTGTGTGAAACAAACATCAACTGTGTATCACAGACTGAAACAAACATCAACTGTGTATCATAGACTGTAACAAACATCAACTCTGTTTCACAAATCAACTGTGTATCATAGACTGAAACAAACATCAACTGTGTATCACAGACTGAAACAAACATCAACTGTGTTTCACAAATCAACTGTGTATCATAGACTGAAACAAACATCAACTGTGTATCACAGACTGAAACAAACATCAACTGTGTATCTGTGTACAGACTGAAACAAACATCAACTGTGTATGTATCAACTGTGTATCATAGACTGAAACAAACATCAACTGTGTGTCATAGACTGAAACAAACAACAACTGTGTATCACAGACTGAAACAAACATCAACTGTGTATCACAGACTGAAACAAACATCAACTGTGTATCACAGACTGAAACAAACATCAACTGTGTTTCACAAATCAACTGTGTATCATAGCCTGAAACAAACATCAACTGTGTATCACAGACTGAAACAAACATCAACTGTGTATCACAGACTGAAACAAACATCGACTGTGTATCATAGACTGAAACAAACATCAACTGTGTTTCACAAATCAACTGTGTATCATAGACTGAAACAAACATCAACTGTGTATAACAGACTGAAACAAACATCAACTGTGTATCACAGACTGAAACAAACATCAACTGTGTATCATAGACTGAAACATCACCTTTGCATAGCAACAACAGACTTCAAAACAAACATTCAGATCAGCTGAGTTGTCATGTCTCATTTATTGCCCATGATAATCAGACAAGCACGGTTCATAAACATATCTTCAATCCATGTACCTTTAACCCACAATAACAAGTATAGCCCAACACACATCTTCCATGTAGAACTCCAGAATGTTTGAAAATACTTCACAGCTGAACCTATGTAAGATACCTACAGTGGATTTACATTCAATGTGATGGTCACATGTTACAACCACACAGGTTACTTGAACCTATGTAAGATACCTACTGTGGATTTACATTCAATGTGATGGTCACATGTTACATGTTACAACCACACAGGTTACTTGAACCTATGTAAGATACATACTGTGGATTTACATTCAATGTGATGGTCACATGTTACAACCACACAGGTTACGTGAACCTATGTAAGATACCTACTGTGGATTTACATTCAATGTGATGGTCACATGTTACAACCACACAGAACGTGAACCTATATGTAAGATACCTATGTGGAACATTCAATGTGATGGTCACATGTTAAGGATGAACCTATGTAAGATACCTACTGTGGATTTACCTTCAATGTGATGGTCACATGTTACAACCACACAGGTTACGTGAACCTATGTAAGATACCTACTGTGGATTTACCTTCAATGTGATGGTCACATGTTACAACCACACAGATTCACGTGAACCTATGTAAGATACCTACTGTGGATTTACCTTGAGGTGTGATGGTCACATGTTACAACCCACACAGGTTACGTGAACCTCCTGTAAGATACCTACTGTGGATTTACATTCAATGTGATGGTCACATGTTACAACCACACAGGTTACGTGAACCTATGTAAGATACCTACTGTGGATTTACCTTCAATGTGATGGTCACATGTTACAACCACACAGGTTACGTGAACCTATGTAAGATACATACTGTGGATTTACATTCAATGTGATGGTCACATGTTACAACCACACAGGTTACGTGAACCTATGTAAGATACCTACTGTGGATTTACATTCAATGTGATGGTCACATGTTACAACCACACAGGTTACGTGAACCTATGTAAGATACATACTGTGGATTTACATTCAATGTGATGGTCACATGTTACAACCACACAGGTTACGTGAACCTATGTAAGATACCTACTGTGGATTTACCTTCAATGTGATGTTCACATGTTACAACCACACAGGTTAACGTGAACCTATGTAAGATACATACTGTGGATTTACATTCAATGTGATGGTCACATGTTACAACCACACAGGTTACGTGAACCTATGTAAGATACCTACTGTGGATTTACATTCAATGTGATGGTCACATGTTACAACCACACAGGTTACGTGAACCTATGTAAGATACCTACTGTGGATTTACATTCAATGTGATGGTCACGTTACAAGCACACAGGTTACGTGAACCTATGTAAGATACCTACTGTGGATTTGCATTCAATGTGATGGTCACATGTTACAACCACACAGGTTCACGTGAACCTATGTAAGATACCAGCTGTGGATTTACATTCAATGTGATGGTCACATGTTACAACCACACAGGTTACGTGAACCTATGTAAGATACATACTGTGGATTTACATTCAATGTGATGGTCACATGTTACAACCACACACTGCGTTACGTGAACCTATGTAAGATACATACTGTGGATTTACATTCAATGTGATGGTCACATGTTACAACCACACAGGTTACTTGAACCTATGTAAGATACCTACTGTGGATTTACCTTCAATGTGATGTTCACATGTTACAACCACAAAGGTTACCTGAACCTATGTAAGATACATACTGTGGATTTACATTCAATGTGATGGTCACATGTTACAACCACACAGGTTACGTGAACCTATGTAAGATACCTACTGTGGATTTACATTCAATGTGATGGTCACATGTTACAAACACACACGCTACGCATTGAACCTATGTAAGATACATACTGTGGATTTACATTCAATGTGATGGTCACATGTTACAACCACACATCGTTACATTGAACCTATGTAAGATACCTACTGTGGATTTACATTCAATGTGATGGTCACATGTTACAACCACACACGTTACGTGAACCTATGTAAGATACCAGCTGTGGATTTACATTCAATGTGATGGTCACATGTTACAACCACACAGGTTACGTGAACCTATGTAAGATACATGCAGTGGATTTGCATTCAATGTGATGGTCACATGTTACAACCACACAGGTTACGTGAACCTATGTAAGATATCCACTGTGGATTTACATTCAATGTGATGGTCACATGTTACAACCACACAGGTTACTTGAACCTATGTAAGATACCTACTGTGGATTTACATTCAATGTGATGGTCACATGTTACAACCACACGGAGTTACGTGAACCTATGTAAGATACATACTGTGGATTTACATTCAATGTGATGGTCACATGTTACAACCACACAGGTTACGTGAACCTATGTAAGATACCTACTGTGGATTTACATTCAATGTGATGGTCACATGTTACAACCACACAGGTTACGTGAACCTATGTAAGATACATACTGTGGATTTACCTTCAATGTGATGGTTACATGTTACAACCACACAAGTTAAGTGAACCTATGTAAGATACATACTGTGGATTTACATTCAATGTGATGGTCACATGATGTTACAACCACACAGGTTACGTGAACCTATGTAAGATACATACTGTGGATTTTACATGTGATGGTCACATGTTACACACAAGTTAAGTGAACCTATGTAAGATACCTACTGTGGATTTACATTCAATGTGATGGTCACATGTTACAAGCACACAGGTTACATGAACCTATGTAAGATACCTACTGTGGATTTACATTCAATGTGATGGTCACATGTTACAACCACACAGGTTACATGAACCTATGTAAGATACCTACTGTGGATTTACCTTCAATGTGATGGTCACATGTTACAACCACACAGGTTACATGAACCTATGTAAGATACCTACTGTGGATTTACATTCAATGTGATGGTCACATGTTACAACCACACAGGTTACTTGAACCTATGTAAGATACATACTGTGGATTTACATTCAATGTGATGGTCACATGTTACAAGCACACAGGTTACGTGAACCTATGTAAGATACCTACTGTGGATTTACATTCAATGTGATGGTCACATGTTACAACCACACAGGTTACGTGAACCTATGTAAGATACCTACTGTGGATTTACATTCAATGTGATGGTCACATGTTACAACCACACAGGTTACGTGAACCTATGTAAGATACATACTGTGGATTTACATTCAATGTGATGGTCACATGTTACAAACCACACAGGTTACGTGAACCTATGTAAGATACCTACTGTGGATTTACATTCAATGTGATGGTCACATGTTACAACCACACAGGTTACGTGAACCTATGTAAGATACATACTGTGGATTTACATTCAATGTGATGGTCACATGTTACAACCACACAGGTTACGTGAACCTATGTAAGATACCTACTGTGGATTTACATTCAATGTGATGGTCACATGTTACAACCACACAAGTTACGTTGAACCTATGTAAGATACATACTGTGGATTTACATTCAATGTGATGGTCACATGTTACAACCACACAGGTTACGTGAACCTATGTAAGATACCTACTGTGGATTTACATATTCAATGTGATGGTTACATGTTACAACATACACAGGTTACGCGGAACTCATGTAAGATACCTACTGTGGATTTACATTCAATGTGATGGTCACATGTTACAACCACACAGGTTACATG